ATGTGATATCATAGCTCAGTGGCCTAGTGGTGGATAACCCTGTGACGTTTGAAATGAACATCACTCACTGAAAGATAGATGCATTCTGCTGATGTGTCCCAAACAGGGCAAAACACGCGTCCTGGACTCCACTACTAGCCACTACCCATCATTAATACCAAAAGCTGACCTCGATGTTGACTACCTGGAATCAAATCAATAGGAGGCTATTATCTAGGTGTCATGTTTGCTGACGTTCACTGGCAAAGCAAATCTACAACCCGGTGGAATCTAATGCTTACCTAACTATTCAAAAACACACTACTCAGTACTGAAATTAAAACCTTAACCTGTTGCGTTCTCTGACCTGGATGGCTGAATTGTGAAGCTTTCATTGTTTTTCCCGACAACACCATCAACACTAACTTCGATAGGAACTTCCTAGATGTTTGAATTATGACTGACTCCACCCTGGTTGGACTGCATGATATCGACGTATTGGGTATCAGCTACCGATTCGCACAAATGACTAGTCTTTAGCAAAAGAGTGTGAACCATAGCAGGTAGTCAAAATGAAATTCTTTCCAGTGGTAGTTTTGAAACCGCATTCGCTCTCATATGAGAAAAGAGAAACTGACTCTGTAATCCAATAATAATGTTACGTCAGTAATAATGTTGTGAAAATAGAAATCATTCGTTTCCGTAATGGAGTGAACCTTGGAATAATGAAGTTATGTGCAAAGAAATTGTGCTAGAAACCACCTGGAAATGCAACTTACAAGTAATACGTCAATGGCAGGGAAGTAATATCATTCAACATAATACACGTCTACGTTCCAGGTTAAGAGTCATGCTTCTTGTGTTGGTGCTTATGAGACGATTTGGCTCCCAAGAGCGAGACGGGAATTGAGCCAGGGATCCATGGCTTGAAAAACAAGTCCCTTAGCTGATGAGACACACACAACGAAATAATTGCATAATCATGTCTTCCTTATGGCGCAGCAACGCTACAACAGTCTTTTGGAATTAAAGCTATCATGAATTTATTTAAAAGTACGTCTTCATTAGTCGAAATATGGCAACTGGTAATTTTTTCAATCTATATTGTCAGTACTATTTATCTCGTTATTTCTGTCTAGTTGTTTGCCATGCACGAATCTCCTGAGTGTGGTTCAGCAGAAGTCTAACTATTCAGTAGTAAGCTTTCACAACTGATTTCGAAACATTCTCCATCTTTACTATATTACCAGTCAATCCATGATATTTCAAAAGATTCATGTTCAACATCTTAGCAGTTCTTTTGCAAAACTCCTCCCTTTAGTAAGCATGTTACTCACTGAATCTACCCGTATACATAATCCGTTCCCATTGTACGGATTATGGGAATATACAAGTCAGGAAATTATGTATGAAGAATTAATTAGCTGAGAGGACACTGCTCGTCCTTATTACTTGCCCCAACGACGCAATAACAAGTGATTGAAACTCTTCGAATCAAATCTCATGTTTCTTAATATTACTAACCAAGCTGAATTCTAAACAACTTCTTTTGAGGTTCGAATCAGAATTGACGCCGATAATTTCTCAAGTCAAAAATTCATCACCATCAGGAGGGTGTGTAAAAGAAACTTGGTTGTCAGATGGCTACATGTCTCTGCCACGTAGTAGCCTATTTACCTGATATGCTAAATGATTCAACGGTGTGGTTATGCCTTATTCAATACTGATGGTAGATGGGAAATCTAAGTTGGCATGCCTTATCACCATTAGGACTAAACGAAGTCGCTCTATACGTATAGAGTCAGCCTCAACCTGTGGTGAATCAATAAACCAATCAATATCAACAACCGATCAGGCATTACTGTGTAACGGTCCACGTTACCCCACCTAATATCATCACAACAAGTAGCAAGGCACTAAAATGAAAGGTTTCGAAATAAGGAAGAATCGGTCAAAAGTAGTAAAAGAGAGGAAGGAGAAATGAGAAAATGTTGAAACCAATATAGCTGTAAAGATGAAGATAAAGTGTGAATACATCTACGCCACCGACATCCATTCTGAGCCATATCATCTAGTATCCAGTCACTGGTTTCTCTTGTCACCTGGACTTCAACCGTCTAATCTCCATCTTCATACATGACTCAAACCAACAGTCAATGAATTCATCCACTGATGCCATGTTTTAGTCTGCCTACACCGCGCCTTTCACCAGCCTCAACCTACTTCAGCTAACATTGCGCGACGAGATAGATGGTGACTACGCGAGGATAACACACATTTTCTAAGGGTCAATCACACTACCTAGCTGCCCAAATCTCACTCAGTAGGTGGAGCGGAGCTTGAACCCCCAACCCAATGGTTGCAGGCCATCTCCTTGAGTCAAAGTGCCACAGCTTCACCATTTCATCAGTTGTATCTGTCGTAAACGATACCACTTGACAGACCTTTCCAATTTTCTCTTTTGTTAGAATCAAACCAGGTGTTCGAAAAATGAGTTCAGCTTTCTGAATTGAATCAATCCGAATACACCACTGGTGAGCTCGGTCCAAACCAACCCCCGGCACTTAAGTTACCTTGTTCTGGCTAGTGAGCACTGCTGATCGGCGTATGGTCTACAACTACTCAGATCAGTAGGTCGCAAATTTCATATAGGTTTCTCCTCCCCTGTTATTTCAATTAGTGCTAAACTCGTGAGTTTAGCAGGGCTAATTGCAAATATCACCAACCATGGATCGACACGAAAACATCAACTGGCCCCTTAAATCAAGTCTTCAAGAGTTTAGCCTACTTATTAGTAGTATGATTTTCTAAATAGAATTTCAATGAACACGTTCATTTCCTTCATGCTTTACAGTCACAAATATAGTTGACATTACTTATTGGTTGTTTTCTTAGAAATATATGATTGAAAGTTATAACTCTGTGATTTACACGTGAAACGCATACACCCCATGACCAATTTAACTACTAGTATATTAAAAATACAACACCCAATGTAAAACGTGGTGCATTTTTTCAGCATTTGCTCAGTGCGCATGAATTATTAAGGCATTTTTTCATGAAAAAAAACAAATAAATCGATAGAAAATATAAGAACGAGTGAAGAAAGTGTATAAGAGGAAAAATAACTTGGAAAATTAAGGTTAGTGAGACAGTGAATGGACCTGCATCATCGTGACCGAATTTCGGCCATTTAACCAAGAATCACCGATTCCTATTTCGGAACGAGCCCAATTACAAAGTTTATACCTCCATGTACGCTTTAGACCAATAGCCAGAGACTTCATGACTTGGTGCCTCTTCATGGTCTGGCCCCTATGAGCTTTCTTCCAGTGCAATCCAACTTCTGCTGGCATTCGGCGTCGGGGTGTCAGTGGATCGGCATGAGCAACCTATTTCCAAGCGACTTCAGTCCTTGACGGTTCTAACATCGGCTGAGATGCCTTCCCTGCCTAATCTCGACACTGATCACTGAGTGATTCCATCATACGTGAGCAATGATACGAAGACAATTATGCTCGAAAACCTGTTATCTCTTCAGCTCTACTATCAGCACTCATACTAAACAGCTGGAAAATGAGAGAGAGAGAGAGAACTGCAGCGCAGTATACTCGTCCTTTAATAGGTAGTCGGACATCTCACCAGTCAATATCAAAGATGACGCAAGTTACCAATTACTAGATGGGTTTACTGCATTTGAGTTGAGATTTCGTTAACAACTAGCCCGTTTAAGTAGATGCAACTCCTCAAGTAAGTGAAGTGACCAACGCATTCCACCACATAAATCCTTTATTAACAAACTGGTGTGAACATAGATTCCGAGAAATTAGCTCCCTTCACCTGAAAACTTCGATGGAATACCAATCTCATCATCACGATTTACGCCTCGTACTAATGATGAACGAGGAATTGGCGTTTACATTTCAAGTACTACTACAATTCAGGTGTTTCTGAATCCACCTGAAAGCATGTTCTATTGATTTCAACAGCCGAAGTCATGAGCAGACTTATGAAACTCCCGAGGTATCGGTCAATATTTCACTGTTCTACAAAAGGGTAGAAGGTGGTATTTTAGCCAAAACTTATTACTAACAGACTGGAAGTAAACTAATATATCAGTGTTCTACCATATTCACCAACTTCGGTTTTCATTCGACACACCAACATCCCACTGTAGTTCCTTGAGAATGAAAACTCACGGTAGACCTCAGGGGTGAGTAGAAAATCTCTTCTGAAATCATAAAAGTGAGTAGAATTCTTTTCTTCCGGGTAATATTCACGATGACGAAACTGTGTGGGATATCTCATAGATATCCGGATATTACTTCTACACAAGTCATGCAATTATCCACCATCAAAGCAAATGGCTTTTATTACATACCGAATGGTGAAACGCCTTCACAAAAAGAATTAAACAATCACCTGTCTCAAACGTAAAATGAACAGGCGGGTTCAATACCTCCCTGAAGTCACTTCAATGGTGGCTCTAACCACCAATGGACTCAAAAACTTAAGGGGAACGCCTGTACAAAATCCATACAAAGAGATAGAATGTTTCTGCTTCGAATTTCTACAAAGAAGAGGTTCACTATAAAAAAGAGCAATGGGCGGACAGATATTTCCGATTCACCAGCTTTCGTAAGCGTACAAAAGGAAAACGGTTTCTTACTAAGAGAAACATATCACCATGAGTTGTCTATATGATAATATACACAGCGCAGAAGAAACAACTACAACTAAGACGTCAATTTCAGGTAATCGGCTACGCCGACCAACAAGCATACTAACCTCTCAATTTACGTCAAATAACAAAGTAGTAACTAGGTAATAAATTCAAATTTTAGAAAAAAAAATCAACAATCTAAATCAGAAGCAAAAAAAACTGAAAGTTGAAAACAAAACTGATAAAGTTATTGGAATTTGGAAAGAAGCATACAATTAGAAATGCAATATTGGAAAACTGCTAGTGTTTACAAACAACCATCTTGTTATCTCCTTATATGCTCTACAAAATATGGATATCAGCTAGTTGATGAATTCAAATTGGACGGAGAGTTAACAGAAGGCTCAAAGGTAAGAGCACAAGAATTAATACAATAGCGAAGACCTGTAGGCTTCGGTCCATCATCGAACACATGTCCCAAATGGGCGTTGCATCGTTTACAGGAAACTTCTACACGGACAGCCCCTGAGAATTAAACAAATTTAAGTCAACAGGTGTGTGCAGTAAGGTAAATGATAACTGGTGATGTTGAAATAATCACAAAGCATAATCACGACACTAGCGAATAGAGTTCGTACCTGATGTCAGATGTTTGGAGGCAATCGGTAGGAAGTCCCGCTCCAACTACGTTTTGCGCTTGTCCGCTCTCCTCAGCAAGGTGTATCGGCAGCCTAGAGGGAGCTGATATCCCCTCGAAGGCTCGGAACTGCGTCACGCTGTGCTTCAGCCAGGCACGTTGACATGGTGCTATTCGGGCCGCGACCGACCTCTTGTGGCATCGGATATAGCATATTGACTAGTTACTCTCCAGCGACAAATCACTGTGCACCGTCATGCTCAGTCTACCCGTCTGATGTCTACATTACAAAATGATCAGTAGAATTCGGTCAGCACTTAGCACCAGATAACATGATATTGGTCACTTTCCAACGACTAATTAATGTAGAGTTGCTAACCACCCATTTGTAAGTATACGTATAGACCATGAGAAGAGCTAATGAGTGTTTGCAGGTAAATGATTACCACCAGAGAAGTATGTATTCCATGAGACTTGAAGCGGATATATTAAACAATGCCGAATTTCGCACTACAACAGTAACAACGCAACGTCTCACAAACACAGCTGTTTACAAGTACTCGTTATGGGTGTGAAATCTCATTGCAGCACTCAACAACTAAGTAAGTCACAAGAAAACCACCTTTACAAGTTTTTCGAGTCAATGACTACCCAATACACTTCCTCTAGAAATCACTACAAACAGAACACACATCAAGACTACTACCTCAACCTACGAAACGAAACACCTAAGTATCCATCAATGAAGTCTCAGAAACTGTCAACAGACCATTTCATCCATTCCCCATCACTGTTGCACAAAACAAATCAAATCACATCAGATGTCATGTAAACTAAAAGATTCATAATCCAGAGAAGATAAGACGAATGCATTTCATATATACTAACAATTTTCACCTTGTCAAACTCTTTACATTTCTCATTATTTCTATTGTGCAGGAGATTATGACTCAACAACTTTCCATTGTTTACTTCAGTCTCTAGCCATAGCCGGTTTAATGATGAAGTTATGCATTGTTGTTTAGTGATAGACTGTTATACGTTTGTGATATATATAAACGTGATTGTACAGCTTTCGGAAGTGATGTCATTAAAAACAAAAATTTTCTTCGCTGAATTATCTCCTGTTTTGCATTCTATTGTGAATAGATAGATGGATAGACTTTGTTCCGTCATAGAATTAGTTTATCCTTTTTTTACTGAGGTTACATCATTTCCGGTAATGATTTTTACTCCCACATAAACGTCTAACTAGTCTGTTAGCGATATTTTACAGATAGTTTTAATTATATCAGAAACGCTTGTAATCTAACAGACAAATCTATGCAGTTTATCTGCTCAGCTCTTATAAAAGCCTAGCTATGTAAATTAATTATTCAAAATCATCCCTAATCTTTAAGATATATTCTGTTCAGTTGCCCCTCTCAAACCCTAAACTTTAACGACCAAATTTCCAATTCAAAATTTACTAACAGTAGGAAAACACCTTTCATCCTTCCTTAATTATCTTTCGTTAGTGGTGTACACACACTGACAGAAAGAAGTGTCACTCACTTAAATTAGCGATTCCAACTGTTTTTATTCAGTTATAGCTGGTTATTATAATTAATTTTGGCAACTTAGCTAAATCATGTGTGGATATATTCACAAAAAATACGACAATTCAAAACTAGCCTTTTCGCAGGCTTACTGATCTTCAATAGATATATTTCATCCTTAGTATCTTATGCACTCAGCAACCTTGTGGATATTTGTGAAGTAGTCAGTGAACTATCGAGCTACTCAAACTGTGGTAGGTGAGGCGTGGTTCGAAACCGTGGTCAATTAGTTGTAAGTCATCTCCCTAAACCAGTGAGCCACAGCTCAGTTGTTGAGGTTATGAACCTTCATCGAATAAGGTGGCTGGAACATGCGTTACACATGCCTAGTGAACGTCTGCCTCGTTGCAAATTGTTAGTTGCAGTTGGTTCAGGCTGGTAAAGGGCTCGGGACGGCGAGACTAAACTATGGTACCAATCCATGAAGTCTTTAGTTGTTGATCTGAGCCATATCGAGCCATCAGTCAGGCAGGTACCTTCTCTTCCTTCCACACCTTCTGCAATAGTGGTGTGGTGTGAGCATATCCGCTGTTGTCTCTGCATCTGCTCTCAGTGCTTCTGACGGTATCCCATCTGGTCCTGCTGCTTTCCCACATTTCAGTAGCTTTATAGCCTTCAGGACTTCCATTTTTGTTGGAGGATTTATGTTCACTTGTAGTTCGGCGGTTGCAGGTGGTATTTCTGGACGAAGTGCAGATGGTGGTGGTGGTCGATTCAAGAGCCTCTTGAAGTGGTCGGCCCACTGTTTCCTTTGTTTCTCTTCTTTCGTAATTAAATTTCCGCCATCATCTTTTGTTGGTTTCGTCTGCTTTGATCTCTTCCCTGCTAGATAGTAACCTGGTTATTTGATACAATGTTGTCAGGTCTCTGTCTCTCCTACCAGTCGGCAGCCTGTTCTGCTTCACTTGCCAGTGTTTCGTAGAAGTGTCTTTTGTCTTTGCGTGCACTCTTCTTCACTTCTTTGTCCAGTGTTTTATACATTGTACTCAGTTCCTCTTGTCATTGAGCATCCTTGCACTGGTTTATCTTCTGCTTCACCATCCTCCTTTCCCTCCTCTATCAGCTTCCATGTGTCCGTCGAGATCCATTCCTTGTCTTCTTCCTCCTTCCTCCCTAATACGGCTGTGCAGGTTTCTTTCCACATAGCTTTCAAAGACTTCCAGTGTTCTTCCACACAGCTTTCTTCAGGGATGTTCCTCGATATCTCCCATTTTGTCTTGATGGCTGCCTTGAAGATTTCCTTTGTAGTTTCATCCTTCAGTTTCCGAGTGTTGTACTTGAATTGAGGTCTATCACCAGCTTCCTTAAAGGCTTTTAACTTGATTTGGAAGGTTCCTTGCACTAGATAGTGAGTGGTGTGAACCTACATCTGCTCCTCCTCTTGACTGACCTTGTGTCAAGTAGACTGCATCTCCACTTTCTTCAGATTGAGATGAAGTCGATTTGATTTTTAGTGTGTCCATCTGGTGAAGTCCATGTCGCTTTGTGGATATCCTTGTGCTTGAACATACTGCCTCCAATCACCAAATCGTTGAATGCACAGAATTCTGCAAACAATTCTCCATTCTCGTTCATCACCTCACTGAGCGCTTCTCGACCCATGGTTAGTTCTCTTCCTGTGTTGTCCCCTCCCAGTTTGGCATTCATGTCGCCCATTAGAATTTTGATATCGCCAACTGACGTCTTGTCCAGTGTTGATTGAAGTTGTCTGTAGAATTCCCCCTTTTTCTCTTGCTCAGCATTATTTGTAGGTGCGTGGTGTAGCATTGTATGATTGTGACCTTCCTTCCTTTTGAGTTGAATCTTGCTGTCATGATCCGATGTTGGAGGATAAGATTGGTTCCCACTGCATGAGAGCCTACGATGCTGTTGGGGACATCATGATAGCCACTCCATAACTCAGTGTGCTCATGGCTGTCGTCTAGGTGACAATATCGGAGTAGATTATTGATTCTCCAGTTGACAGTTTGGAGAGTCCACTCCCATTCCATCTGCTTTCGCAAATCCCAAGCACTTCGATGTGATACCTTCTCATCTCGTTTGCAATCTGGGCTGCCTTGCTGAATTCAAACATGGTGTGGACATTCCATGTCCCCACGTTTACTTTCGCTTCCATCGAGTGAGGTGTAGATACATCGGCCAATTGGCTTCCCGAAGGCTTTCACCAACTGGCGTCATTTCGCCTCTCCGATTTCAGTGAGGAATAAGTTTGTTTTTATTTTTTATATATCGTTTCTGCTTTGAAGTTTCTTTAGCGGTTGGATTTGTTTTACGGGGTAGGGTTGCTAGCCCTATGCCCAACCTTCCCTCTTTACCCGGGCTTAGGAGCGGCTAGTAACTAGTGAATTAGTTAACCAGGCGAGGTTTCGCAGGCTTACTGATCTTCAAAACATATATTTCATCCTTAGTACCTTACGCACTCCGCAACTTTGCGACCTACTCAAACTGGGGTAGGTGAGGCGTGGTTCGAAACCGTGGTCAATTAGTTGTAAGTCATCTCCCTAAACCAGTGAGCCACAGCTCAGTTGTTGAGGTTATGAACCTTCATCGAATAAGGTGGCTGGAACATGCATTACACATGCCTAGTGAACGTCTGCCTCGTTGCAAATTGTTAGTTGCAGTTGGTTCAGGCTGGTAAAGGGCTCGGGACGGCGAGACTAAACTATGGTACCAATCCATGAAGTCTTTAGTTGTTGATCTGAGCCATATCGAGCCATCAGTCGGAAGTTTACATTCACACACTCAAGAACAGTTACCACACATACGATCCTTCCATTTTCTTACTTGGTCTGCATTTCCAACACAATCTTCCTCATGGTTGACAGTTGTAGTGAGTTGCCTTTGTTGCAAATGTTGTGCGGTAGCACGTATTAACATTTCTTCTCCTTACAATCATTCTCCCCATTCATTTATCTTCTACATAAGTATCGGGGTGTTGTCTCAGTCGATAGTGACCTTTTCATCTCATGCATGAGTCGCTATCGAAGTTGTCCTCTCACCTTGTTAACTACTCACTCATTCATAGAGTTCACAGTTATCCTTTCTCCTTAAATCTTTGTATAGTACATCAAATGCTCAATGTGAGAACGTTTGGTGTTCAATTTCAGTGAAGGAAGGAATCCTCACCAAAGCATTTAGTTCTTCATAGCTGCGAACAACCTTATACAACATAACATAAAATATATCCGTTTACCGTTGATGTTTTAGTTAACAAGAGGCTTAAGTTTTTAAAATATATCCACGAAGTGATAACTAAATCAAATGAGCACAATTATACCTCGAATGAAGAA